TCACTAGGCAGAAAGAAACATCTGAGGTCAGGGAAGGTGAGACTCCACATGGAAACTCTAGCTACTGGTGCTGCAAGTCCTGTACATCACACTTTGTATATGGAATCTGGCTTCCCCACAGAGCAGGCACTAAATACTAACAGTTGAATGGTGGTTGTATGGCGCCATCTGAATACCTGCTATGTTCAGTTATGTAGCCAAAAATTGTTCAAGTGGTTCATGTTTTTTTATTGGTATCACTTCTCTCTCCTTTTTCAATCTAAATTTCCTTCTCCAAAAGTACTTACACCTTGAAATTTGGGGGTATTAAATCCTATAGGTAAAATTTTGCTGTTCTGAAGAGGCTTTACTCCCCTTCATATACCACTTAAATATTGTCAGGCTCTCAAAACACCCTTTATCAGACTGTTGGAGAACTGCATGTTCAGCATTACCTAATTTCCTCATAAATCTCTTGCCTTTTAATCAGCTAAGTGGCTATCTGCTAAATTTCCCTGATTTATTGACATTTTATGAGGGCTGAGGGTATGTCCAGATACTAAGTGATTAAATGTGGATGAAAATGGCACATCACCATAATAATGATAGAAAAGGGAGTCGTGACTAGGCATACGTAAGACCTCAGAGACGAATGTAGGCAGCTTCTTAAAAGGGCAGGCTCCAGAGTTGAGGAGAAAACTGCACTATCAAGCTAGTTTTTACACAAAAATCTACCCAATTCTTCTCACTAGAGATGCATTCTCATTTGCTGGCTCAGCAGTTCCATAAGAACCACGGCCCCCTCCAAATTCACTGTTTCAGAGAAGCAGTGGTGAACTGTAAGCTTCTAGCTAAGCTGAAAGGAATCCTGGATTGTTTTCACATTAGCCACCACTGTGTGACTTGCAAAGAAGGATGTTTCCATTTTCTTCAGGACTTCCATTCTTCATGTGCTAACCATGGGCGATCCCTGCCAAGGACAGTCATCATGACACTTTTCTTCATTCATTCATTTATTCATTTTTTCCCTAAGTGAATTTATTGATGTAAACAGAGCATGTTGAGAGATTCCAGGGAACAGCAGACTATGGCTGGTACATTGGTTTTAATTCAAAAAAGGATTTGTGATGCCAATTGCTTTGGTGGACAGCAGCTTGATGGAAGGGCAAGAAAAATATAAAGACTCCCTGGTGACACCCCTTGGACCTGGTGACCTGGTCTCACTCTGTACACTCTGTACAGGAAAGCCGAGCTAGCAAAGCAGAACCAATAGCAGCAGTTAAAAACCAGACCAGAGCTCTGCAGTCGTTCTGCCACCAGGGACACTCTAGGCTCTCGGCCACAACGAGCAACAGGTGCGCATGTGTCCCTGGTCACCTGGCTCCACCACTGGACATCAAAGACAGGATCATTTCATGGCACTACAGATCTGAAAAAATAAAAATCTCAGCTAGAAGGAATGCCCAATGTGGAGAGCGTGAGAGGACAGAGTGGGGGCTGTCTGGGGCTCCAGAGGCAGACACCCTGATTGCAGGTCACCCGGGGGATGCATGGTGCCCCCTTGGTAATGAGGCAGGGTTGCTGAGAGGCCTGCTGCCCATGCCCAGGGCCTGGCTGGACTGCAGACCAAAACCTGGCTGTGAACAGGAAAGGCCCCTCCACTCCTCCTTCCTTCTGAATGCTTTACACGGAATTGCCTTAATTTGCACTTCCCTTTGGTTTGAGTCAAAAAGAAGAGGGAGAGGGAAAAACACACACAACGCTTTTTGTCACTTGTCCAAAACTGAAAAAAAAAGGTGACAGTGGGCATCATGTGTGTTGGCAAATACCCCCCAGGCCTGATGTGCGTCACCCCACTGAGTGCAAAGCTCAGCACTCCTGGAACCATCACTGGCCTTTGGGGGCCTCATTTCTGCAGTAGGAGAGGCAGACAGGCTTTGCAGTGGAATTTTAGTTATGTCATGTCCCAATGACAGAGGCTCACCATACTGGTCACTTACTGTTGATGGTCACGTTGTGTCCGTCTTTCTCTCCAGATACACAATGCATGTGCCAGTTCCACAGACGTCACAGGAAAAATAGCAAATTCTTGACTTATTCCACCTCCAACGTTTTAAAAGTTCAGACAGTTACTAAAGTAAACAATTTCTCAATTGTATTCTGGTGGCCCTGGGCCCAGCAGCCACCACGGGAGTGGTGGGGGAGAAAGGGCTCGGCCGACTATGGGGCTCACTGAGGATGGGCACAGTCAGCTTGGCTGAGCTAGGCTCAGAGGAAGGCAATGTGTTCCTCTTCGGAAGAACACATCAGAAGAAGCTGGTCTTCTGCTGGTCTGGCATGATTTTGACTCCCTGGTTGCTCCCCTGGGGGCTGTTGCCTTCCAACTTTTTGTCCATTGTGTCTCTGGAGAGTGAAAAATGTGTTCTCCACATTGATGTTGGCCTTTGCACCAGTCTCCATGAACTTGATTTCATAATCTAGGGCCAGCTTCCCTCCCAGTTCCTTGGACACTTGTCTCTGTTGTTGAAGTCACACTTGTTCCCAAGTATCATCTTCTCAACATCTGCAGAGGCATGCTCCTCAGTATTTCAAATCCAGTTCCAGATGTTGTCAAAGGTGATACTGTAGACCAGTACAATGTCCACTGTGCCCCCGTGGTAGGCATAACACCCTCTTTTAAAACAAAGCACTGACTTAACAGGACATTATATTGGCTCCATAAAAATGAAAGATTATTGTCACAGGTCTTCATTATAACTGTTAAAGCGCCACCTACTGGAAACATCTCTCATAATACATATCAATTCTCTGTGAGTTGCTGGTATCAGAAAGGTGAGAAATATTAGTTACCTGTTCACAAAAGAGAATCTAGCTTCAAAACGCAAGTAGTGAAAATGGCACCAGCAAACCCTCTCTTCTTACAGTGTTACCACAGTCCAATTGCATAACGTATTACCTCTATACAACACTAGGAAACACTACTGAGCAGGGGCTTTCTTTTATTAATAGCATAAATACCTACAAAAAATACTGAAAAATGAATATTGTTCTAAAGGGCAGAAAAGGAATTTTACAGGAGGTTCTCTACTTAAGAACATGTTGTGTCTCAGAAGCTTGTGTATAAGCCAGATGTTTAAAAGCACATTGTCCAGGCTGGTTAACTAATGCACAGTCTTTATAAACTTATTTAAACCAGGTTGCCTTAGGGTACTAAGGTTATTTAGTTGCTGAATCCAACTCCTAGCATTGCTTCCCTGGAACACTGAAGCCTGACGTCTGACTTGGGATGCCCAGATTGGAGCTGCTTTGCCCCCTCCCGTGGGAGCAGGCGAGGGCAAACACTAGGATTAAGGGGGACGAGTGGAAAGAGCAGAGCAAGGTCAGCTAGCTTACTACCTACATGTGCCTGCATAAAAGGCTTTCCTTTAGGTCAGTGTCCCTTTAAATGTTCTGAACTTGGACCAAAGACAAAGTTCACTTAATAAACACCCAACAAACGAGACAACCATAGGACTAGAAAGATGATAAAAGGCTGTTGTTGACCTTGAAGAGCTCAACCTGTGGTGAGGAGGGGCAGTTAAACGGCAAGCACTTCGGTAAGAACCACAAGGAGGATGTCAACAAGAACCCTAGGAGCTTAAGCGAGGGGGACCCGGGCCGGGCAGCCTGAGAAAGCTTCAGAGAAGAGATGGCATTTGAGCTCAACCTCGACAGACATGTGGGATGTTGTCCCCTGGACCTCCCTACATCATCATCACTATCCCTAGATATACAGCTTTATTCTTTAGTAAGGTATTTTAAGAAATAATCTGTTTCTTAATCAAACTGAAAGTCTTCCCCAAAAATGCCAAACATTTTAACATAACCTTTTTTCACTGATTGACAGTTGTTATTGGTAGGAGGTGAAAAACCAAATATCCATTTTACTGGCTTCAGAGAATGAGAGGTTATTTCACTCTAGAAGAAAAAAAGAGAATTTTAAAATGTTTATTCTGGCAAATATTCTGCAAGCTCACTCTGAATTTCCTTTTATCCCAGTGTAGTCCCAAAAAGATAGGTTTATTTCGCCTTACAGAAGACATGACTCTGAAAAGGTGGATGTGAAGAAATCTTGAATTGTCATTCAAAACCAGCAAGGGAACTAGGTAATCCAAGAAACCACACAGTCCATGTATTTTCATGAAATCAAAATCTTTTAATAATATGAACACTTAACTTCAATTTGTTATATTTTTACCAAAAAGAAATTTACATAGAGGTTTTTTAAAGTGGTATACTGATCGTTGACATTATAACGATGCTACCTATTAACACTTTCATTGAAGAAATGTCGTAAAAATCTCATGGCACATAAATATTTGGTAGGATGTAGTGCCTTACCCTCTGTTTACTAGGAGAGAGCGTTCCTGGGTTCACCGCCCTCCACCCCGATGCTTCCCTGGCACTCACACTTGTACTCCACGATTCCTCCGGTGCTGCCCCACCCACTTCCCTGCCCTACACAACCGGTCCCCGGACCTCACCTGGGGCTCGCGGACAATGGCTTGCTGCCTCAGAGGGACAAAACGCAGAAGCCTCTAACTGAGGCGGCCTACTCGAAAACCACCCTGGACGGCCCCCACTCTTGACCACCCAGCACAGCCCAGAGAGCCTGCTCTCAGCCGTGTCCTGCGGCTGCCTCCTGTGTGGGTATCTGCCCCACCCCGTTTGCCCACCAGTGTCTCTGAAACCCCAAATGGGGGCTCCCACCTTGTCTCCTGACACTGGCAAATAGTGGTCCTACAACATACAAAAACGCAATCCTAACGTGGGCTTCTGCTTGATCTTGGTATTTTTACTTTTGATACATTATTTTGTATTCCATTGTAAAATCTAAACACTGGATCCAATCCAATGCTACAGAGTGTTTAAGTCATAATTTTCCAAGCGTCCCCTCAGCAGTCAGCGAGCTCTGCTTTCTCCCGTAGCAGCGCCCCGCTTCCCAGGAAGCCTCCGATGTCCGTGCACATCTTCTCCTCCAGCTACAAGACCGCAGAGTGGGTCTCCTGGAGGTTCTCCTCAAGCTTCAGTCCCAAGTTGTCGATTCCAATGACGGTAACTGGGGGTACGCTGGTCTCGGCCGGCTCCGCCGTGCGCGTGGGGGTGGAGCAGAACAGAATAAACCCCGCCATGATGATGGTGAAAGACAGGATGTAGAGCCCGGAGAACTAGGAGGAGAGAACAGCTGTGGGTGATGCTCCCTCACATACACCTCTTTGCAGCTGCCTTGTGCCAAAACCCTTCTATGTGTATATACTGGTGAATGCCTGGTTTCGGACATCACGTGGCACATCAGCCAACTGGCTCCTTACATCTCTAGGAAATGGAACTTTTGCCTTTTTCTGTGACAAGCTAGCCGCACCCCACCTCACAAGTAGTCCCACTTAATTAAGAAAATAAAAGGTCAGTATGGATACCATGGAAGGGCTCAATTCAGACCCAAGGCACAGCTTACAATATTGGTATGAAACAGAGGAACCCAGGACCTAAGATAAAATATGGATGTACAGACAGGACACCTTGTGACCAACCCCTCACATATGCTATGCCAATAAAATCCACTTTGTTAAAATTTAATAAATTATCTTGTTTCTGTAGGCAAGTGTTACATAGTAAAATTTATGGTGGACTGGGCAGATTCAGATGTTTATAGCTGGAAAGAGCCTTGGACAGCATTTTTTTCAGAAGAGTCTGAAGCCCAAAGAGGTTACTGGCACAAGGTCCAGTTGGACAACCACAAAGAGTGGAGCCTGGCGAGACCGATAATAAGCAAGAGTCCATTCCGACAGACACACCATGAGGATGGATGGGGTTCCTGCTGACCTCTCCAACCTGCCCTTTCTTTAGGGCTGAAAACAGTCACCCGGAACAAAATGCAATGAAGACAGAATTCTAATTCTAATTACTGAAAAATAACATTCTGACATACTGCAAAGTTTAAATAGATAATAAGTACTCTGTACATTTGCTCTTATTTGAATTGAGAATCCATGTAAAAGTTCAACTATTAAGGAAATTAATATTTATTTTTAACAGCAAGAAAAATAACACACAGAGAATAGGGAAAGACTGATCAAGAAGGGTATAGTAAAGGTTAGGGAAACTATGTAGCATAATGATATGTGATTTCCATGATCATTTATATTTTTCCCTTTGAACAAGAAACACAGTTTATAAGTGGTTCTGCTAAACTGAATTTAAAATTAAGAATGGAGCATGCTACTTTATTCAAGCCAATAAATATTTTTAAAGTAGCTTAGATTTCATAGTATGACCAATAAAAAGATTTCTAATCAGGGGGTAACAAAGAAAAATAATAACAAAACAGAATGTGTTGGAGAAGAGAAAGATAAGAAAGAAAGAGGGAGGAAAAAGCAAAATACACTTCCAAAGCCAGAAGGAAAAAAATAATAGGTTTTTGAAATGGGTATGAAGTAGACTGCTGGTCATCTCCGGCTGTGGACTTCTGTGGGTCCGCACTGGCTTTGACGTGTTAATATTTTACAGGTGCTCAATTATTTCTCCACCTAAACCTTTCAAACTCCTTAAGGAATGGAATAACCACAGCCCTTCCTAAGGCCGAAAAGCCTCCACTGGATTCAGTGGTGATGCAAAGCCAGTGTTAATGTCAAGCTGAGCAACACAATTAATTTCCTACTACTGGCTTTAATTCTTCGATACAATAATCAGCACAGTGGCCAATACGTAGCTCATGTTTAATAATGTTTATTTGTTGGGGTGGGGGAGATTCAGAGAATATTAGAGGAAACCCTAAACTTTTTAAGTCACTATTATGAAAGTTAATCATGCTTTTTTATAAAATGCTCACTGTTATCTGTGGGAAAACCTATATAACTTACTCAAAAAATGTCTTGTTTGGTTTGATGGTTTTAAATATTCTGGAAAAGAAACGTTTCTTATCCCTCTTAAGAAGGCAGGCGATTAAATTGAGGCACCTTTATTAGAAGGGAGAGATTGTGAGCGGGTGAGGTAAAGTCTCCTGAATCAGACATTCTTTAACTTTTTTCTTTTTAAAAAATTCTATCCTTGTGCCTGGATCTATACAGAAGGTTTCTGTGGCCACTCTGTTCAACAGGTATCTACTCAAGATCAATTCCAAAGGAGGCAGAGTCTGGCACAGATGAGTATAGGGAATTTGAAACCTCTTTTTCAACAGTCTGTTTCAAAAAACCCAGAGACAGTTATTTTAGACACTACAATTTTAAAAACCGGTGTTATATTGGACTTATGATTCTATCTTTAAAAACTACTTTTAAAATGCTAGGTATCTTCTTTATGTGCTTCTCTATGCTTCTTTATGCTTAGTTTTCCAGCTCTGTAATTTACTTTGAAAATCACAGCAGACCTGCTCTTTGCTCTGTGTCTTGAAATGACCTTTGACCAAAAGCGATAAAATCTGATCTGATTAAGAGGGAGCTGCTAGACGTGCAGAGCCAAGGAAACATAAAGCAAAACAACTAGAAAGGAATTTACAGTACATAGTCTTCAATTCTGAGAATAGTTTAAGGTCATGTGGCCGAAAAAAATGGCGCACACAAAGGTTTTGCATATTAAAGTTAGAGCAGTTAAAGGACAAATATTCACATTAAGGAGCTTATAACAGTTTTGTAGTGACAAGTGTACTTTTACCTCTAAGCTTTTATTTTTTTAACCATACATCTTCCTTGGACATTACTTTGCTTATGAGGGAAAGCAGAAGTTAAATTAAATTACTAAAGCTAAATCAGTATGTTTAGTTAAAAAAAAAAAAAAAAAGGCATAAGTGAGCAGGGCCATTGGATATGCTGTTGAGCTCTCAGGCTTTCTTTGGGTATGGTAGCTATCAAGTGGCCTGGAACTGCAGAATAGAAACACCATCATCTTTTACTGTTGGCCCTGTGAAATAGAAGCACAATACCACAGAACAACTCACTTTCGTAGGAGAAAAAATCTAGGCCTGTCAGGACCACTCTGATTCACTTAGACATTTTTTTTTTTTTTACTTTGAAATGATGCTAGTAAAAACTTTAAAATATTCTTTCAGTCTTAGTTCAGGAATACCTTAACCAGCAGTCTGCAAAGATAATAGCTGGTTCTTGTCACATGTAACCTTGCAAATCAAAATGGTTTACATTCCTTAAGTAGAAATTTCTGAGGACCCACTGAACAAGGCACTGTGAGTTCCTAGACAATTCCTGGGAACAGTGTAAATCAGTGCCAAAGATTTCTGCCTGGATACAAAATTTTACAAAGACTAAGAAATGTCATTGCTATCCCCTACTGACACTGAAATTATCAAGTCACAGCCAATGTCCTATTTGTTCAAATGACTGTGGGAAATGAGCAGACAGGTCAACAAGTACTTACTGAGGGCATTCTAAAGAAAGGTGGATTTCTAAGGTGGCAGTTCTCAAATGTGGTCCAAAGACTCTTGAAGGAACCCAAGAACTTTCCAGAAAGTCCGTAAATTCAAAACTTATTATGATAATACTAAGATGCTATTTGCCTGTTTATTTTCATTCTCTTAGAAGTGTACACCTGAATGTTCCAGAGACTATATGAGATGTGATATCACAAGGTAGAATGAAGAACCAGATGTGAGAATCCAGGTGTTTTCCATTAAGCCATACATTAGATTTTTAAAAGTGTAAATCAATGCCATTTTCACTAAATTTTTTAAATTTAAGAATAGTTTCTCAAAAAATATTTTATGCTAACATATGAGTTTATTATTGTCTTAACAAGTTAATAAATATTTTAAACATCTGTTTTAAATTCTAATATGATAAGTCATAGAAATAAGTGACCTGCAGTCCTTAATTTGTAACCATTTTTTAAAAGGGTCCTGAGATTAAAAAATATGAGAACTGTTGTCCTAAGAGTTTTGAATTTAGCTGTGAGTTATTTTCAAAAATCTATTTATTTCATTCTCTCTAATGCATGAGATTTTAACTTGATAAATTTATATGCTTGAAATTCTCATCTTAATAATGAAAATAGAGAGAAAGGTGCAGTGGAAAGAAGACTAAACTATATGACTAATAACTAAGATTTATTCTTGACTTTACCACTAACCAGGTGCTCACTAAGGGTAAGTTACTTAATTACAAAGAACTTCCATGGGCCTTTGTTTCCCCATCTCTAAAATAAGATCATTCATTCTGCGATTTTCAAGGGAAGGTGTATCAGACTCTCTGGAGACACTGCTGTCTTGCTTGCCTTGCAGACGTTGATCCATTCCCTCCCACCCACTCTCCTGGAGAATTCCTATGTGTAACAAAAGCTGTTACTGAGGGGAGCAGGTTACACTTGTGAATGCTGTGAGGCTGCAGACAGAAAAAGTCCGAAAAACCACTAGACTGAATTACCTTTAAGGTTCCTTCCAGATATAAAACTACTATCAAAGATGGAATGATTCCAGCCACTGCATAAGAATACAATTACCTCCTTCCCTTCCATTGGGTACCACAAACGTTTTATCTGTGTATTAGGGCATTGCAATATTTAAGTGTATTGTATCAGCACGTGGTATACTTTAAATATACACCCTTGTCATTATATCTCAGTAAATCTAAGGGAAAAAAAGGAAAGCTCAGGATGCCCAACCTAGGTTAGATGGTCTCTCAGAGTCAATAGTCACTCTGGGATTCCTTTTTTATCGCCAGGCAACCCATCTTAGCATTTCCATGCTGCAAAGTGTGGGGCCATACCAAAGAGGAAATCCATTGCATTTTGCCTTTTAGGAAAAAAACTAGAGCAACTCTTATTTGGGTCAATGTTCTAACTCAGAAGGAGTAACAAAAGAAGGACGGATAATTCAATGAAATTCATGCCTAGAGGATGAGAAGGTTTTGTTTTTGAATCTAAAATCTTGAAGAAACCTACTTTATTTGGACTAAGCAAGTGTTCTCATTTAAACATGATTTCTATTTGCTTACCTTATAGCCAAAGAGAAAGAGTCCAAAAAAAAGGCTGTAGAGGTCAGCTGTCAGGATGCCCAGGTTGACCGAAGTGGCACTAGTAACTTTAATCACCAGTGGCATGAAACTGTACAAGCAGAACATGCAGAGGGCAAATGCCACAAACAGCAGGGCTGTGAAAACATGAAGAAATCACAAGACAAGGTACTTTAGGCCTGGCTGCCATATAAAATTGCCTAAGCCTTTAATATACTATCTATAAAGCTCTTAGCTACTGTCGGCATTGCAAAAGAGACATAGAAAACTCTCAGGAAAAAACAGTAATAACAAGAAATGATGTAGGTTAAGGGCTTCAAAAGTCCAACAGGGTGTTGAATGGTCAAGGGGACAACCTTCACAAAAAGTTGGAAGACTCAAGATACAGATCTAATTGAAAGCTCATGTGACCGAGGGCAGCCTTGTTCAGAATTCTTAGTAAAGGCTATTAGATTAAAAATTAACGTCTATGAAGGTTCATGTACAAGTTCTCAGAGAAATCTCAGTGCAAACCACTACAGCTCTCTGTGTACTGAATTACTCTGTGATTTTAGAAAAATGCCTAAGTACTATTAAAATGAAGTACTTATTTCTTGATGTGTGTTCTTGTCAGAGGAGAGGATACTGACTAAAAAAAAATTATCACTTATGTACATACCAATTTTCCAGTTCCAATGAATGTTGGCAATGTCCTTATATTCCACAAGCAGTCTAAGATTGAAACAAGAGGTCACAAAAATCCACACACAAATTTTCACTATTTTAAAAGCATTTAGTTGCTATACTTCAGATAAGATGAAGAATTATGTTGACTTTTGAATTTTTCTTAGACTATAAAAAGAACTATCCTTTTTTTAATAAAAATAACAAAGAATAAGACCAAAGGAGTCCATAAACATATGTTTGACTCCCTTAGAAGCACTCTCCAATAGTATCAGCTATAGGAGGAAAATGTGACATTATGTTTTCCCTTTGGATAGGAAGTTGATATATTCCGGAAATAATTGTAAAAGAAAGTCTTTACTGGTAATGCCTCTACCACAGGTATGAGAAAATGAGGCATAGTTCTTGACATTTCAAAAATCCTCTAATATATATTTAGCAAGTTACTGATTTTAAAAGTGAATCTGGGCCAAATGAACAATGGATATTAGTAGTTGGAAAGTAATCATCTATGACATATTTGCCTATTTTGTTTTTAAGGAAAATTTTAGACTTACAGCTGTATGCCACTGATAATTGTTCCAAATAAGCCCACCATTCCTAAAAACTCCTGTCTGCTCAGCTTCTTCACAATGTATTCTTCACACACATTAGAAATGGCATAGAGGGAAGCCCCAAGAAGGACCATGATGTCCCCGATCAGCACATCACTGCCTGTAGGAAGACAAGCGACAAAAAGGAACACATTGTCAATAGGAAACCTCTTTAACTTGCTTCCAGGAGTTTATCTGGCTCGTATTCATTTAAATTAAGATTTTACAGAGAGAGAAACCCCGATTTCTAGAAGTTTAAAGACTCATGATCTTCTCACTTTCTGGCACAATTCTGCTGTGATTTTTCATATTTTGACTCCTTAAGAGACTAACAGACTGGAAGATGGTAGAATATGCCTTAATGTAAGGTCTCAGAAAATGATTTTATGGCATGAGAAATTAATGGACTTTATTGAAGGGAACTAATTGAAAATTGTACGGAAGGAAGTGAGGTAAGCAAGGTAATTTCTCTCATAAAGGAGATACTAAAGTCACTTGTAAATTGAGTGAATTCAGAGACCTCATTGAGATTTTATACCATCAATTGTCTGAACTTTGATGCAAAGAGTATCAAAGTGTTTTCACCAACAGAGCGGACACAATGTCTCCATTTGTTTAAAAAAAAAAAAAAAAAAGAACCTATAGTAGGTTTCCCAGTAACTAATCCAAATGTATGGGCCAAAAGAAGATTGCAAATATTTAAAGAAACCTCTTTCATGAAACAAAATAAGTGTGACAAAAAGGAACAAGAACTGTGGGCAGGTAGAAACATAATGAGTGTTTCCTGGAAGTGGTTGTAATGCCAAAAGCAGCAAGGAAATCTGAAAATAAAATTGAAAGATAGTTAACCAAGATATGCTTCCTGCCTTTTACTGTGTTCGAAAAATAAAAGCGAAAACCTAAGCAAAACTTTTCTCTGTGACTGAACCAGAAACAAGTAACACCGTCTTACCTGAATTGTCTTCCCTCCCTGCTAATATGTCTGCACCAACCATAGTGCCTACACCCAGCAGACAGACGGCCACAGCAATGAAGTGGATCACTCTGTATCTTGCATAAAGAATAAACCACGAGAGAGCCATCAGCACAGGAATCCCAAAGCAATCCAAAAGCTGCATGGAAGGAGAAATAAACAGCTTAAAACGTCTCTCATTCACTAGCATATCGTAATTAAGTAATAATAAAAGTTAGCATTTATTGAGCATGTATTATTGCCAGCCTTGTACTAAATGCTTTGCCTGTATTAACTCATTTAATCCTCACAGCAACCCTATCAGATTGAAACTGCAAACCCCATGAGGGAAAACAAAGGCTCAGAGAGGTTAAATGAGTTGCCCAAAGTCACCCAGTTAAAAGTTGGAGAGATAACTGCTGAACCCAGGGATTCTGCCCAAGGGCCTGTGCCATTTACCTCTACACTCCCACCTGGGTTGATCCTTAAGTCCAATAGGCAGACTTTCCTACCTGCATGCGCCCACTCACTCAGTCAGCAAATATTTAAGCACAGGAGACACTGAGAGGAGCTGGAATGCAGAGAAAAAGAGAGACACAAGCCCTGCCCTCAGGAGCATTCAGAAGGCCAGATAGACATAGAACAAATAATCACACAGCCAGATATTTAACTGCAATCGGGCTGGTTATTATGAGAAAGCAAGAAGACCATAATCTCCCTGACAGTGTCCAATTCCCTCATATCAGACAGACCCCGGGTCACAGCAGATACTCTTGTTTGTCATCATATGCTCCTCCCTCATCTGTTGATCTTGGGTCCAGAAAATATTTGCTACACTCCTAATATTGCCATTCTGAAAGGCAGGGGATTAAAAGTGACAAAATTATAGCAAACCCAAAATCATTTGTAAGATAAAGGAAAAAATAGAGATTTAATTCACTCAATTCTTCACAAATTTTGTAAAGTGCATTCAAGGATAAAAGATAGTCCTTATACTAATAATGGTCCTCAATCTGTTGTTTTATTGCTTATCCTGTTGTTTTTAACATTGTCCCTGATTCACTCTGTATCTGTTTAATCTTGGACAAGGCAGGTACCTATGCAATATCCAGCAGGCTCTTTGATCCTGTCCACAGTTGTCTACTAATTGTCTTCCACTGCAATGTCACTACTGAATCTGCTGTCCCACCTCATGTGTAGGAGTGTGTGCCTTGCCTTGTTATTTATTCCAGCTGCAGAAGTCTAATCTCCTAAATGCCTTATCAAGTCCTCCTGAATAACAAAGCATTAAATGATGCAAATATAATAGCCTGTCCCAGAGGACACCAGCAGAATCCAGCCATAGTGACTTAACAAAGTCTGAACTACATTCCTTAACTAAAGGGTGGAAAAAGTAACTCACAAGTGATTCCCTGCCCTCAAATTGTAACTTAATACCAAACTTAAGTTTGCTCTATTTTTAACAATTTCGGTGGGCAATTTAAAGATTCAACGCAATCTCTATTCAGATACCAATGACGTATTTCACAGAAATAGAACAGACATTTCAAAAATTTATATGGAACCATAAACGACCCCGAATAGCCGCAGCAATTTTGAGAAAGAAAAACAAAGTAGGAGGGATCACAATACCGGACATCAAACTCTACTACAAAGCCACCATACTCAAAACAATCTGGTACTGGCACTAGAACAGACCCATAGACCAGTGGAACAGAATAGAAAGCCCAGAAATAAGCCCAGGTCTCTATGGACATCTAATATTTGAGAAAGGGGGCAGAAGCATAAAACGGAGCCATAATAGCCTCTTCAACAAATGCTGTTGGCAGAGCTGGACGGTTACATGCAAAAAATTGAAATTGGATCATCAGCTGACACCATACACAAAAATAAACTCAAGATGGATAAAAGACTTAAATATAAGTCACAACACCATCAAAGTCCTAGAGGAGAACATTGGCAGGAAACTCTCAGATATCCCATGTAGCAATTTTTTCACTGATATGTCTCCTAAAGCAAGGAACATAAAGGAAAGAATAAACAAGTGAGACCTCATCAAAATAAGAAGCTTCTGCACGGCTAATGAAAACATCAGCAAAATGAAAAGGGAGCCAACCCTATGGGAAAATATATTCGCTAATGATACATCAGATAGAGGTTTGATCTCCAAGATATATAAAGAACTCACTCGACTCCACTCCAAGAAGACAAATGATCCAACCAAAAAATGGGCAAAGGACCTGGGCAGACGCTTTTCCAAAGAGGAGATACAGAGGGCCCAGAGGCATTTGAAAGGATGCTCAGCATCACTAGCCATCAGAGAAATGCAGATCAAAACCACCATGAGGTACCACCTCACATCGGTCAGAATGGCCATCAGAAACAGATCCACAAACAACAGGTGCTGGCGAGGCTGTGGAGAAAAGGGAACCCTAGTCCACTGTTGGTGGGAATGCAGACTGGTGCAGCCATTGTGGAAAGCAGTGTGGAATTTCCTCAAAAAGCTGAAAATGGAACTGCCTTTTCATCCAGTGATTCCCCTGCTGGCACTATACCCTAAGAACACCAAAACGCCAATTCAAAAGAACCTATGCACCCCAATGTTCATAGCAGCACAATTTACAATAGCCAAGTGTTGGAAGCAACCTAAATGCCCATCAGTAGATGATTGGATCAAAAAATTATGGTACATATACACAATGGAATACTACGCAGCAGAAAGAAAAAAAGAACTACTAAACTTCGCGACAGCATGGATGGAACTGGAGAGCATTATGCTAAGCAAAATAAGCCAGGGGGCAAAAGACAAATACCATATGATCTCACCTATAAGCGGAACCTAACCAACAATACAAAGATGCAAGGAAAGTAAGACCAGCAACACTGAAAGGAAAGGAACTCAATAGAGACAAGAGGGAAGGAGGGAGGGCGGTGGCAGAGAAAGGGAAAGGAAGGGGAAAGTCAAGGAACATATAGCAAGGACTCATGGACAAAACCAAAGGGGAAGAGCTGAGGGAGGAATGGAGGGAGGGGGCCAGGGAAAGTGGTGGGGGGGAGGCAGAGACAAATGTATTTAAAAAATAAAGAAAGAAAGAAATGCTTGGGGAAAAAAAATAAAAAAATAAAAGCAGCAAGAGAAAAGAAGACAGTTACCTACAAAGGAGTTCCCATAAGACTATCAGCTGATTTCTCAAAAGAAATCTTACAGGCAAAAAGGGCATGGAAAGAAGTTTTCAAAGTCGTGAAAGACAAGGACCTCCATCCAAGATTACTCTCTCCAGCAAAGCTATCATTTAGAATGGAAGGGCAGATAAGGTGCTTCCCAGAGAAGGTAAAGTTAAAGGAGCTCATCATCACCAAGCCCTTAGTATATGAAATGTTAAAGGGACTAATCTAAGAAGAAGATGAAGATCAGAAACTATGAACAGTAAAATGATAATAAACTCACAACTATACTAAACAAACAACTAGAACAGGAACAAAATTGAGGCAGGAGATAGTCAGGAAAGAGGAAACTCCAGAGGTGTCCCAGGGCTAAGATAAGATATCGATAAAGTATGGAGACCTTGTTCTAAGACTGGTAGTTCCTGCTTTCTGGAAAAGCACTGAATCCTAGTGAATCTGGAATGCATCTGCACAGAAAATGATACATGACCCCTGCTTAATTATAATAGAATTATAATAAATGAGCATTGCAGAACCCCCTTTCCCAGTGGCCAATCAAGGAGTTCATGGGAGACCACATGCACAGTAACTTTAAAGTAATATAACTACTTGTATATGAGCAATAAAAGCCCGCCAAAACTAACCAGGAGAGACCCACCCTAGAAGAATAATAGCCCTCTAGCCCCTGAGATCAGCCCTTGTTAGGCTCTGCTCAGCTCTGCTCTGCTCTGCTCAGAGTTGGCCTGCTTCTGTGTTGTGTGGCTTAATAAATCTGCTTTCTCTTGCTTTCTGCTATAAACGCTGTGTGTTCAGTTCAATTTTTTGTCCATGATCACCAAGAACCTGGTTACCTGTGCCCACCTGTGACAGAATCACAGAAATGGAGATCAGAGGGGAGTGAGGTGGGGAGGGGGGGGGAGAATGGAGGAAAAGGTATAGGGAATAAAAAGCATAAAGGGTAGGTAAAAAAAACAGACAGGGGAAGGTTAATAAGGTTAAGAATAGTATAGGAAATGGAGAAGCCAAAGAAATAGTGGGGGTGGGGGAGAATGCTGGTGAAAGGGTGGGTGCAGGGTGGTGGGGAATAAAGTGGAAAAAGAAAATTTTAAAAAAATTGTGGGGGGAAAAATTAATTAACCAAAACTAAAAAAAAAAAAAAAAAAAAAGGCCAAATGATCTCACAAGTGCCTTCCAACTCCAAAACTCTAGAACTTCTTATCTGTTATCTCTCACATTCAGCTATTTGTCTACATTGAATCTCCTTTTCAAAACGTGCTCTTGGTGACCCTTTGATACTTTCAGTTCCAGAAGTCCCCGCATGTAATTAAATCTTTAAAAATTATTGTATAGTCACAGAAGGCAAAGTACCAAGTAAGACCCTGGGGTACAGGCAAGGCTTAAGTGTAAACATGCGTTAGCCTTTTTAGAGATACAATGGAGTATAGGAGAAGGTGAAATTGAATTAGACCTTTGAGGATAGAGGAAGAGCGGGCTTCAAAAAAGGCTACATTCTAGAAAGAACAGAGCAGCACAAGAGAGAAGAAGCCAGAGGTGGGTGGGGACCATGTAGATGTGGCAGTGAAGTGGGAGGAGACATAGGATGTCAATAGCCACATCATGACCTGTATGTAAACTACCACATTACTAGTAATTACAGAATCTTTGAGAGAAACCTTAAGGAGGTTCAAAGACCATCAAATCCAAACTTTCACCCTTTCAGATCACCCAGGCCAGAGAGCTGCTCAAAGAGAAAATCAGAATGCCAGTGACAGGCACTCTCCACTGCTGGAAGGAGCTTTAGTTGGTAGATGGCTTTTTAAAAATATTCTGCTTGCTACAGCCATAAATGGAAAACTTTTGATAACCAAATGCTTAAGTTTTTCTAAGAGGCCAAAATGGAAGACATGACTTCAGTCACAAAAACCCAAGTGCAAGTATTCCAACACACCTTTGTGTTTAGACCTTGCACAGATTCAAAACTTCTAATTACCTTTAGTCAGAGATCAAAGTTTCTGGAAATTGTAATCAAGTCATTGAATTCTGTGTGAGATTATTAGGGGAGAGGTGACTACAAAATGCTATTTTCTACATACTTATACCCTCACTGCCCATTGTTTAAAGTACAGTTAATACTATTTGTGATGAACATCATCCTCCAGGTAATGCCTGTTTTCAATTTTTATGAAATTCTGGGTTTTTTCATGTACCTCCTATAAGGTCTGTCTTAACAAATATTTCCTATCTGGGCTTTTAAAACCAGTCAAAAACCAAGAGGTTTGCTATGAACAATGTTACAGAAATTAAATCATTTAATAAAATGAATTCTAGTATTAATAGCATTTAATGTATAGTCATATTGGAAAAATACTGAGTTTTTCATTAATCCTTATCTTTTCCAAGTGAAGTAAGTCTAACCTCACTTCAATTTTTCTACATTCCTAAAATTTAGAGATCAAAAAAGAACATCTCTGCTTTACATAGTGAGAAAAGCACCATATCAAAAAGTTATAAACTCAGCCATGGCCGGGTAGCTCAGTTCATTAGATCATCATCCTGATATGCCAAGGTTGTATGTTTGATCCCCGGTCAGGGCACAAGAATCAACCAATGAGTGCATAAATAAGTGGAAAACAAATTGATGTCTCTCTCTCTCACTCTCTCCCCTCCTCTTCCTCCCCCCTCATCCCTTCCTCTCTCTCACTAAAACTAATAAATTTTTTGAAAAAGTTATAAATTCATTAAACGGAGAACTCTAAACCTGGCAATGGAGTCTATCTCACTTGTAACTCTATTTATAAAACATTTTATTGTAGGTGATGGTTAGTCGGTGCTATAATACATCCCATAGTTTCCTAACATTAAGACAACAGAATCAGTCTTTCTCAACTCCACAAAGTTGAAAAGTACTGCTATGCAGAAACATTTTCTTTCAATCCAGTGAGAATAAACTAATAAATAAGGATGTAAGTTTTGCCTTTGGCTACCATCTCTACCCAAGATGTCTGGTAGGTTTCTTCCCTTCACTCCTTTGTCTTGAATATGTACTTTACTTGCAAACCTCCAACTTTTCTGTAGCACAAAGGTACATCCACTTTATATGCCATGTGTGAGCAACACATAAAACAGAACTCACAACATCAACTGCCAACTAAACATTTACGCTTATTTTGGTAGAAACTGTTCTAATCTGCTATAGCATTTGCAGTTTAGAAACTCATTAACTTGTATACATTTTCACTAATTCCAGGAAACCTTACTCATTAGCACATATGCTTCACTGGAAAACAGACAGCATCCACCTGTGTGTAGTTTTTCTTCAAGAGAACAATAAAATTAGGTCAACACATGTGAGTTCAGATTCTTCTCTTAAACTATAAAAACCAAACTGGCTGGGGCCTCCCTCTCACCTGGACGCTGGTTAGGGTCGTGTACTGGTACGCTCTGATGATCAAGTAATTAGCCTCCACGTCTGCTAGTCCCAGCAGGATGTACTTCCACCATTTTCTTTTCAAGATGTTTAAAAGGTTATCACTGCCTGGAGGAAAGAAACCTGGATTAGTACATATTACGTGGAAATGAGGCCGTGCATGTTGATCCAGTGTTTGCTGTGTATTCTGGATGTGCCCCCACCATTTCCATTACTCACAACCCGAATTCCTACAACAGTTCAGCAGAATCAGTTATATTTTTCCAGCATGAGAACCCAGCTAAAGTGTCATCACAGACCACATGTTCAATGAAAGCACCAGTGAGAAAATAAGCAGAAAAGTCTTTAAATTGCCTTTCCCATTGTGACAGAAATATAATATCCAGGTATGGGTCTGGATGTTGCCATTCCTGAGAAGCTACAGATTATCCTGGGAAATGAAATGTTTTCTGATCAATTCATTGGCTATTAAACCTCCATTCATGGGCCTCTTCACGGAAACTGCATGTGGTCATTCTTTTGAAAGAGACATGCTTTCGTGAGAAAACTGTCAATGTTAAGTTTGGAAAAAAGACTTAGTGGCACCGTTCAAGAAACAGCTTTTATTCACCATTCTATTTATTCAAGTTAACTGTGATTTACTTCTTTAGAGAATCTAGCATCCCTGGAAATAGGAAACTGGCACATATATGAGAAGGCTTATTGTAAGATAACCACCAAGGAAATAAATGTAGTGAGAATCATAACCAGATAATTATCATTAAAACCTAGTTAACAGGAAAATCCTGAAAACATAGTGTTAGTCTTCCTCAACATGAGACGGTATAAAAGGCGCCTAACAACCATCCATTAGGGAGACTGTATTGCTGTTTATAAGTCACACTGACTTACTACAGGCAATGTTTACAGAGAAGAGCAAAGTCCAGGGCTAATAACCATGTACCAGTTCTACTTCCAATTCCCAAAACTCTTGCCAAATTTGGTACATTCCCTTTTGGATGGTTTCTCTCCTCCTACAACTAATTTCTATTCTCTTTCAAAAAAAGATTTTTTTATTGTGACACATAGGAATATTGTTGCTGCTTTAAGGTTCATATTGAAATAGGGTTAGCAAATACTATATTGGTGCTTTTATTATGTGCCTTAAATATGATAAAAATGGAAGGATTGTATCCTCCCAATTGATTTGGGTTACCCACTGTCTTCACATCCCTAAATTCAACCTAACTTAGCTCTTCTCTTGTGGGAAGAATTGTTATCATGACTAGCGGCCCCTAATGCAGAATGGTGGTAAGAGCGTGGGCTCTGGGGCTGGCTGCCCAGGTTGGAATCCTGGCTCCACTAGTTACTACCTGTATGACTTAGAGCAAGTTATCTGAGTACTACATGCCTCAGTTTATTCACCTGTGTAGTGGGAGTAATAATAATACTCACTTGACTTGTTGAGAGGCTTCAATGAGTTAATACCAACCCTAAACAAGGGATTAAAATGATGCACAAAAAGGTCTGTCAGAGCCTTTCCCATTTTTGTGTAGCTAATGAGAAAAGATAACTCTGTAATAATTCTAAAACAACCAGCCAGTGGTAAAGATGTTAATTCTTTGCCAATTCCTTGTCTTTGTTTCACTTGTAACATAGACTTGACCTACATGCAACTGGTGCTTCATTCAGTTTTCTCCACTTAGCTGGAAATAGAGATTGGAAAGAGTGAGGTTTTTAAGTGTTTTAAATATTATCTCTTAATCTTACCAACAACAGGAAAAAAAAATAAAACCTAGACCTGGCTAGTATGGCTCAGTGGATTGAGGGCCAGCCTGCGAACCAAAGGGTCGCTGGTTCGATTCCCACTCAGGGCACATGCCTGGGTTGTGGGTCAGTAGGGGTGTGCAAGAGGCAACCACACATTGATGTTTCTCTCCTTCTCTTTTTCCCTCCCCTTCTCTGTAAAAATAAATAAATAAGATCTCTTAAAAATAAATAAATAAATAAATAAACCAGTTTGGTGCTACTTATTTTAATCAACAATTTCAGAGATTATGCATAACTATCTAGTCACTACTTTCACAAAATTCAAGTGACATACTGTTCTGGTGACTTTTATAAAAACAGCAATAGTTTTTCCTATTCTTAGTTTTGCCTCATGTTTTAGTTTTTAAAGGTTTAAAAGCCAATTTTTTTTTTTACAAAGATAATTTGTTGACAAGGTTAATTCCCACATTTGGCATACCTGACTGAAATGCCAGCATCACAGTATAAATTAAAAACAGCAAGCAATAGTTGATAAAGCTCTGGAGCATGGGGGCATTCGCTTGGTATTCTTCTGCCAAATACTGGCTGGTAATGGCTGTTCCGCATATACACAAGGACAACATCTGACCCAGGGCAATTGTTTTCAAAATATTCCTAGAAAATAAAGAAGGAAATCTGAATAAGTTGCAAGTAATTTATATACCTTGGACACAAACATATAATATGCATAACACACACAGCACACAACACACACCTTAGTGCTCAAAAAAAGAAAATGCTAAGTTATTCCAGGTATTTCATCATTTCATTTTATTGCTCACTTCATATGTACAAAAATTAAACTGATGGGGTTTTTTTTAAGGTTTTATTTATTTATTTATTTATTTATTTTTAGAGCAAGGAGAAGGGAGGGGGGAAGAAAGGGAGAGAAACATTAATGTGTGGTTACCTCTCATGTGCCCTCTACTAGGGGCCTGGCCTGCAACCCAGGCACATGCCCTGACTGGGAATCGAACCAGCAACCTTTTGGTTCACAGGCTGTCACTCAACCCACTGAGCCACACCACAGCCAGGGCTAAACTAAAAGACTACATTTTTATTTTTTTATATTTCTGATTTCCCCCTCATTACCTCAAATATACATATTTCCCCCATTTTATTAACTGTACATTTAGAAATCATTTTGATTAGTTAGCTATATCATACACTATTTGAAGTGAGTGTGTGTGTGTTTTATGTGTATGATTTTTAAAAACTCAGCTTTAACTCCAGTTCTAAAGTCTTCCTATTCATTAAATATTTAACATATTCTCATCCATTCATTCTCCCAGTCTTGACTTCTTTGACTAGAAGTAGTGTTTTTCAATGTCACCTGCATGTTAGAATCACAACACTTTCAAAAAGGCCAACAACATCAGGCTGCACCTGAGACCAGCTACATCATCACCTTTTGGGGTGGATCCCGGGTGCCAGTGACGGTCAAAGCTCCTTGGGGGATTCCAATATGCAGCTAAGACTGTGAATCGCTGCTCTAGAGGCTGGCTCTTTGAATCCATAAAAGAATAAACCCAGATCCTCATCTTTAGCACCTTAACAACCAACTACAAAACAGAAGTCTTGTAACAGCAGTGCAACCAAAGGGCTAGATAGAAGAGCACACAGGTGTTACTGATTAATTCTGAGGGAGGGATTAGCTGGCGGAGCAAATTGGGAAAGGTTTCATGGAAGTGGTGATGTTCCAGGCAGGTCTGGAAGTATATAAAAGATTTCTAGAGGAAGAAGTAGGGAAAACGGAATTCAGAAAGAACTGGGACCAAATGCAGAGGGGCACAAACATGCAGAGGTGGGCTCAGGAAAGGCCAAGTGGCTCAGCATGCTTGGGACACAAGGGTCACAGCAGAGAGTGGTAGCACGCAAGACACTTGGAAAAGTAAGTGGAACCCTGGCTGGTGTGGCTCAGTGGATTGAGAGCCGACCTGGGAACCAAATGGTCAGCGGTTCGATTCCCAGTCAGGGCACATGCCAGGATGGGGGGCCAGGTCCCACGTTGGGCTCACTTGAGAGGCAACCACACACTGATGTTTCTCTCCCTCTCTTTCTCTCTCCCTTCCCCTCTGTCTAAAAATAAATAAATAAAATCCTGAAAGGAAAAGTAAGTGGAGGCAAGATAGTAAAAAGGTTTGAATGGCACACTTAGAAGCTAGACTTTTATGGCTTAGACAGCTGGGAACCATTCTGAACAGAGGGATTTATGAAAGTAACTCTGGTGTTTAGGAAAAGGATTAATGAGAAGGGAAATTAGGCAGAGAAGCTAGTAAGAAAGGCAACATAATGACCAGGCCAGAGTGAGATCTGAACAAAAGCTATGTCAGCATGAATGGAAAGTAGAGAATGATACATAGACCCTAGCATACCATTAAATCCCAGGAGAAGGTGTTGAAAATGGTATCTGGGTTTCTAGACCAGATGACTGGATGGATATGAGGCTGCTGACCAGGACAGGAATAAAGGATGGGAGTAGTGAGTTCAATGTGAGAGCAGTAGAAATTGAGGTGGCTGAAACATTGAGAGGAAGAACAGTAAGAAACTTGGGACAGACAGACTCTAAAATGGCCCCCAGGGAATCTCTGCTTCCTGGTATCACTGCCCCACGTAATCTCCTCCTCCCCAGTGTGGGCAGGATCTGTGACTGGCTTCTAAACATTACAATACAATAAAAGTAATGGGATGTCATTGCCATGAACACATTATATAAGGTTATAACTCCCATCTTACTAGGCAACTTGCTTTATTGATTCCCTTTCTCGCTGGCTCTGATGAGACAAGCTGCCACGTAGAGGCCCACATGGCAAGGAACTGAGGGTGGCCTCTGGCCAAGAACCAGCAAGGAACTGAGGCCTCAGTGCCCCAGTCCACCAGGGAATGCATCGTGTTAAACAAAAATGCACTTGGAAGCAGATCCCTCCCCAGTTGAGGCTTCAGGTGAGACCCTGCCCTGGCTGACACCCTGGTTGTAGCTTTGTTGGAGACCCCAAAGCAGAGGGCAGACCTAAGCCATGCCTAGATGCCTAATCCATAAAAACTGTGAAATTGTAAGTGTGTGTTAAGTTTGTGGTAATTTGTTACACAGCAAATAGATAACAAATACAATGTTGAAACTCTGGACTTCAGAAAGTTAGGCCATATCTGTTTTGCTCTCCACTGCTTATCCAGTGCCTGACATTTTGTTGTCACTCAGTAAATATTTGTTGATTGAATAATAAATGGATGAAGTAATTACCACGTATACCCAAGTATACGGTAACCCCAAATATAAGACTCTTCCCCACTTTCCCAATGAAGTGCCATAGTCAGAGAAAGACAGATTATAAGAGTGCCCTGACACAGAAGCTAAGAGTGGAAAGACATTTTAAGAAGGAATAAATCAATACTGTAGCATCCGAAACTGCAGAGAGAAGAGGTGACATTATAGCTAAAGAGGTGATATTATAACCAGATGGAAGTTGCTAGAATTGTTTGAAGGAAAGCTTTTTCTTTCCTTTTTTTTTAATATTTTATTATTTATTTTTAGAGAGGAGAAGGGAGGGAGAAAGAGAGGGAAAGAAACATCAATGTGTGGTTGCCTCTTGAGCGCCCCATACTGGGGACCCGGCCTGCAACTCAGGCATGTGCCCTGAATGGGAATCGAACCAGTGACCATTTCGTTCACGGGCTGGAACTTAATCCACTTAGCCACACCAGCCAAGGCAGAAAGCTTTTTCTTAGTGGTAAAGCCTAAAGTCAGATTCCACTTGGTTGAAAGAGTAAAAGATGAGCACCAAACATAAACAGCTCTTTTTTAAATGATGGAAAGGAGAATAGGAATGTGGTAACAGTGTGGAAAATAATATTATCTTGTTAAAGTATCACGGAAATTTGTAGATGTTTGGGAGCGGAGCAGAAGCAATGAGTAAAGCCTTGAAGGCTGACAAAACAAATTAAGAGATGACAAAGACTGACAGTTCCTGGGAGGTTTAAGGATTGGGATTGAGAATACTTACAACTTTTATTAAAATGTTCTCTATATAAATACTTCCTTCCAGAGCTCTTCTACACAAAGTAAAAAATACCAAAACAGTAGAAAACACAGAATATCTACTCTAAAACCTTACAAAGTATTCTTTTCTCTGGAGTAGTTGTTACAGTAATGCGCAACTAAGCTCACACAATCCTTGCACAAGGACATAAAAAGAAAGGGGAAGAAAAACAGTGGCAAATCGAACACTAAACAACAGAAGCCAGATCAAGAAGGGTGGTGAGGTCATCAAAATCTTCCAAACAGTAAAGTGATTAGCAAGGTGGGAATCGTTCATTTCTAGAAATGCCATAGCATATACATCATTGTACATAGCACCAAAACCTTCCCCTAACTCCTAACATAAAAACAAAATAAACAGGAAAGCCGACATGGACAGAGGGGTATAGAATAATACCCAGTTTTCTGGAACAGACACCTGGAGAGATAGCAGTATGGTTCATCAAGATCCCCAAAACAGGTGGACAAGGCACATTTGGAAGGGATAATAACTCCATTTTCAACATCCTGGATTTTCTTTAATTATAAGACAGTCAAGAAATATCCAGGAGGCAGTTTGGAGGTAAGAAAAGCTTTGAGTTGAAGAAATAAATTTGGGGATCATGAGCACAAAGGTGGTAGCTGAAGTTGGTATATAAAGGAGATCACCATATGTATGCCTAAAAATTGAAAAGAAAAGAGGGTTAAAAAAAAAAGGAAACAGCCCTGGTGTGGTGTGGCTGGTGTGTCTCAGTGAACTGAGTGCTGGCCTGTGAACCAAAGTGTCACAGGTTCGATTCCCAGTCAGGCCACATGCCTGGGTTGCAGACCAGGTCCCAGCAGCAGGCGCGTGAGAGGCAACCACACACTGAAGTTTCTCTCGTCTCTTTCTCCCTCCCTTCCCCTCTCTCTAAAAATAAATAAATAAATAAATAAATACTTTAAAAAAAAAAAAAGAAACACTCTGGGAAACAGCAACATTTAAGGGGCTGGAGGAAGAAGAATTATAGATGGAGATGAACGGGCCTGGCCAGAGAGGCAGAGAGAAAACAAGGCAGGAAGAACACCCTGGAAGCAAGAGAAAATGGTGTCTCGACGAGGAAGTGCTCTAAAGCTTGGACTGCAGCAAACCCCACTGCTGTGCCAGCTCCCTTCTCCCTCTCCGCAAATCCAGTATCTACACTTAGCAAGAGTCAGTGCTCTGAATCACTGCCTCTCACGGGATCCTTCCCAAGTCTAATACCTTTCAGTAGTTCCCCTATGCCCTTTGATGAAAGCCAAACTTTAAAGTGGCCTATAAGGCAACCTACCACCTGACCCCTGCCTAGCTCAGCCTCATCTTGGACTACTCTCTCACAGCTTGAATTTTTAATTTTTTAAATTTCTTATAGGATATTTAAAATATAATGAAGTATAATACATAATCAACATGTATTCATATACCTACCAAGCAGCTCAAGATAAAATACTATTGACCTTCAGTCAAGATGGTGGCACAGGCAGACATGGCTCACCTCTTCCCACAACCACATCAAAATTACAACTAAAATACAGAATGTCACACAGAACCATCAGAAATCAAGTTGAATAGAATTCTGAC